GGATACATGTACTATTTGGTTTCAGAAAGCTTCGAAATGAGAATGGATGCAAGCTTTTTTCAAGATGCTGTCTTTAATCCCCTACACTTGTATGCACTTCATTGCCCAGGGCCACTGTTTGCACAGGAAATGTGGAAAAAAAGGGGTTCAACTTTGAACAGAGGACGATGTGACCGAGGATTATTGAAAACCTTTCGGATGGGAACAGCTCTGGATTGGTCATTATTGGCATCGTTATAGCCTTCTGCAGAATGGAACCACCCACTCTGCTCCATGAGGCGTCATTTAACACGTTTATTATAAAGATGTCAGAACCAATAAGGGGGCCGAGTGTGTGTATATATAAAGTGCCTCAGGCGTTACGCATAGGGAGGAGGATTATGCAAACAGTTCCCCGCTGATACATGTACGATGTGAGCTGTGTGACAGCTGGGTTACAAACACCCCCCCCTCCCCTCCAAGTTTGGCATGTTCTCAACTTCAGCCATTTTTTCCCCCAGATGTCTACTATTTTTCTACCATTGTATTTTTGATCCCGATTTAGCTCACTGGTACATGTACATTGTGGAAATACTCACCGGTACTGTACCGTACAGAGTATGCCACTCCACAGTTAGGTCAAAGGCAACCTGTTCACATGGAAGAATCTGACCATCGATGAACGTGTGTCGAGGTCGTAATCTGTTAGGCGCCCCCAGTTGGTGAATCGTAAGAGCGCAACTTGAATGCTGCTAAGGATGTGTTGCTTTATGACAGTAAGACACCTGTACTAGTACATGTACTGTCATGATGATGTGCGTGTACATGGTACTCACATGTACATGTACCTGCTGTATGTACATGTACATGTATGCAGAGATGTCTAAACAAGCTAAGTGTTTTTTTTGCCAGTTCCTTGTAATACTGGTATGGTACTTTCCTCCCTCGATGACAGAATCTTTGAGTGCAAGTGCAGGGCGCACATTACTTGCAACAACACTGAGACCCACTCAAACCCAGTGACGACTGACAATCCAGACTGCCTTCATTCAAGAGAGCAGTTTTGGAGAATTTTCTGCTACGTGTACATCTGACAGCTACATGTACTGTACATGTACCATGCATGTCCTAAATTGTGCAGAGACATTTTGCTACTCACAGGTTGTGGGACAATATTGGATTTTTTTTTAGAATCTTTCTTGCAATGCACGTACTCGTACTCATATTCGTACTTGTTTACTCACTTACAAATATGCATTGATCATCAAAATATACCCATTTTGTTATGGATAGGCCTTAAACTCGACTGGCTGCGGCTGTAACACATATCTCATGGGAAGAAGCTACCGGTATTGTCACTAGCCAGAGGCTTCCATTGGCACACATGTTGCTTCTAACCGTAGCCATCACGTGCAGGCCTAGGGCAGATCCAGAACTAAATTTCTTTGGAAATATTTTTCATGTAACATTTTATGGCATTTCTTAGGGGTGAGTCTACATTTGGAGGCTTTTAGCAAGCTTTTTGAAGAAAGAAAAATTATGAAATAGACCAAAAAGTCCTTTTTCCTCTTGCTATGTCAAAAACAATTGTTCCTTTTTTGACGGGGGCATAGCCCCCATCCACCCTTATTGTAAAAAAAACAAAAAAAAAAAGCTTGAAAGGAGTTTCTGGATCTCGTGATAGGAGAGTAATGAGCAGGTTTCCTCGAGCTTTGTCAACCACAGGAAACAGAACACACGGGTAGTAGCACATGTTTGTGAAACAAGCATATGGGTGCACCGGTGTGTGTACAGAGGCGAAAAACAAAATGCCAAAATGAATAGCAAATACCGGTAGAATGGGCATATTGAAAAACACTACGGTACGACCTCAGCCCAAAAGTTCTCTCCATGTTGTAATTTTTAATCTGTTTGGCCCTGATGAAAATAATTCCAACCCAAAAGTCTAAAAGGCAGAAAGCTGACATACATACATGTACGTTACACATTTTGCCAAGAGGTTAGTATGGTGAGTAACCATGTGTGAAATCCTGTTTTCCATACATTACTGAGGAATTGTAAAGTGCATACATAGAGTATGTACAGTATATATGCACAGAATTAATGTACCATGCTCGCAATTTGTCACATGGGCAAATGTGCTCCAACAATATTCCTCGGTGAATCACTCGTATTACCTGGGAACACCGACACGACTCATAGATGTCCACTTCCTCATCAGAATACTTCAAAATATTTACATGTACATGTATACTTAAATGCAGGGCACACAATTTGCCGTCTAATCCAGTTCAATCAGATTTGTTCTCTCTCTTTTTTTCTTGGGGGTGTTATATTCTGAAAAGCCAGGTATCAACAGAAAGGCCGCTAATCGGATTTCCGATTCATGGGTCACCCAAGCTGGGTAGATTGAGAGGCCTGTTGCCCCAGAGGGTGCCTCGTTTGTATTATGACTCAGAAGGGATAATGGCTTTCTTAATTAAATATCGTTTGGATGAAACATGTGCTGGACAGGGCGTCCATGGGCTAAAAGATTGCAAATGCGCTCTGAGGCACGATGTTGTCATCACTTGCACTCTGTAAATAAAGATGACCTGGAACTCTGCAAGCACAGGTGTACAGAAACATTGTTTTAGGCACCTCCCAAGTTTTGTCGGGGTGAATGACCCATTGTCTCTACGGGAGGGGGACCAAAACCGAAAGGGGCAAGAGGATTCTTTTGTCCTGATTTAATGAGTTGCTTCTGCTTAATGAGACCAGTGTCATGAATTTGTCAGTCGATGTCTGGTGTGTTTTTACCATTGTTAAAAATCCAACGGAGCGGTGAAAAATGAAGCAGTCACAGACTGTACCGGGGTAATAATGAGTGGAGCAAGAGTCCATTTCTTTGCCCAGAAAAGGAAATTCTTCCCGCTGAATGTAAAATTGTTTGTATACAGTACATGTATTGTACACATACCTACCAGTACACATTTTGTTTTGTAGAACTTATGGCTTTTTTCCCCCAACATTTGCAAATACCGGTAGCAAGAAATCCCTGAATGGGAAAATAACTGGGTTGGCCATGCAGAAATTGTTTTTGCCTTGCAGGAGTTGACATGGAACATTCTTATTATCTTTTGAACTTTGATTTATTGTTCAGGTGTGCGCATGCTTTGGTTCATGTATGTCTGTAATTGTCTGTTTAAGAACACAAGATGACATCAAGTGGAACCTTGTTGTGGATAAGTTTTGCAGGAAGCAATACTCGCTGAGCGTTTTCTTTTTCTCCCTTGAAAGTTTCCGAGAAACACCACTTTAAGCTGTGTTGGCTGTGATTGTCACCAGATGGTTTTTGTCAAACAGACAGACGGACGGGCAAGTTGAATGTGTCAGTAGCATCATGGCCCAACATCATGTTTGTTGCAGATATTAAAAATGCAGTTTCTTTGGGATGGTTTCTGTTTGTCAGGAAGCACTAATTAACTGTAAAACTCTAAAACATTTATTAACTCTAAAACTAAAGCATGGGCATTGCCTGGATTTTTGGGGGAGGGGCAGATGAAAGTACTTTTTTAAGGGGGGAGACAAAGCACTCATCAGCAATGAAATGAAAAACGATTAATAGTGGAAGAGTGTCAAGTGTCTCCGTTGACCACCCTTTGCAACACCCATGGACTGTAAGTTCATTTTTATTTTTTGGCAGTGAAAGTGGAAAGCATTTCTGCTGAAGCGATACATGTTTCAGTGCAATGCCACGTACATGTAAACTCACAGAGTCACGTCTTCATTACTCCCTCTTTAGTTATAAACGCTAACCATGCTGAATCCAACAGGGTCATGCAGGTTTTTTTAATGCTGTTTATTCCCTGACCTGTAGGCCTACATTGTATACCAGGTATGCACTAGTACATGTAGATTTGCTGGTTGGGGTTGGTGTCTAGTTTATTGCTAAGGCTTTGCGGTTCTAGGACAGGTTAATGTTGGAACAGATGTCAGTTTAGCCCAGTCAGATGGGTCTGTGTTGGACGCTTCTGCTACAATTTTCTGAAATTTCAGGTATTGTGTGTCGTTTGCAGTGGCAGTTTATGATTTCCCTGTTGTGAACTCTGCCACCTTTTGCCGGATATGTGGCATGAGATTTGACATTCATGTTGTAACATGGTCATTATCAAGCTTGTTTGTTTGATTTGTGATGTGTGAAGGCACAGGGTTGAACCTCAGAATTCATAACAGCTTCCAGCGAGGCTGTGGGGGAACATGTTCGATACTGTTCCAGTTGTTATCCTTCAGAGACAAATATCTTGAGGGAGAAAAAGGTGAAAGCAATCACATATAACACTGTGACACCAGTAGCCTTGAAATGACTTCCTAAGCCCATTTAGGTTTGGGTTCATGTCCCAAATTCTGTAATCGTAACACCTGGATTTGTGGGAATTTACCAGTAATTGATATAGACTAAAGAGTCTACTTAGAGTTATTTTATGCAGATTTTAAGGTGTGATAGTAACTTATAGTAGCAAGGCAATGTACCGGTACATGCTGAGTGGTCTGTCTGAGTGTCATACTGTATGAAGAGGTGGAGGTATGTCGTCAGATAGACAGATGGTCCTAATTTAGACGTGGCTTAAGCCGACAAAGAACGTGTCATTGAGTCATTGTTCTGTATTTTTAGAAAGTTTCAGAGCAAAAGGTTTCACGAATACATAAATATAGCTTTGAGAAACTGCATCAAATCAAACACTTTTTTGTAAAGGAGAGCTGCTTTTGATTTTATTCACTTTGTAGGCAGCATTGCGTGTTTGTCCCTCCCATACGAGTTATCTGTTGATGCAATCCAAACATTTGTTATAACGGCCAAAGTCTTGCACGCAACAGGATGTCTCAATTCAGATCAGGCTAAATTTCCATATGTTAAACTCATTTGTTCAGCATGCGAAGTTTTCTGCTTTCTACTTGTACCTGGTGAAATATGGTCTTGCGTTTCATTCCCTCATCTAAATGGTGCCTCTTGACTGTAGTGCTTTTTTTATACTGTTCAGATTTAAAGGAGCAGAGAGATTGGTCTGATCATGCCATCTGGTGGCCGGAGAAGAACCAATGGCTGAAGCGGACTGGGTCCACCCTGGACCAGTGCCATGTCCAGGCAGACGCCAGGCTACAGTTTACGCCCATGCACAAGACGCTGCGAGTCCAGATGCCAGACATGCAGCTTGTGGACATCAGGGTGGACTTTTCCACAGATGTCTTCTCATCAGTGATAGAACTCTCCAAAGAAGTTGGTATGGTCAACTTCATGTTTTGAATTGTACTGTAATACTTATTCTACTGGTAATTCAAAGTTCTCGAGTGACATTGGCTTCATTATTGTAACTTTCCTTATCGTAAAATATTGCATCGGATTTATACTGGCGTGCTAAGCAATCTGTTCACAGTTTATTGTAAGCAGAATGTTTTATTTGATAATATTTGAGTATTTAAGAGTCAAGATTGAGTCTGATGAGTTTTGAACCCATATTGGGTACATATCCTTGAAAGTGTCTTAACACCGTTGAGCTTTCTTTGGGTTCTGTATGGTTACAATCCTTTCACATGTATTGCTGTTTGTTTAACATTACGAAACCTGTCAAGCAGTTCTGCTTGGCAAGACCAAGTGCAGTCCTTTTTACCCTCTGGATTTGTGTTACACAATGGTGACATAATATTTCAATTTCCTTTTAGGAGTACGACACCCTGAAGAGCTCTCCTTCCTCAAGAAACCAAATGCCCGTGCCTCAACTGTCAAACAGCGGAGCAATGGCCGTAAGAAAAAAGACCGGGACCGTGACTCCATGGCATCCAGCAACAGCAATGAGGCGGCGTCCACGGGAAGCCTGGATGGTATCCCCCCACACACCCCCACCCGTCGGCCCTCCCCGGGGTTCAACCGGCAGATGACGCCAGGATCAGTCAACTCCACGCCAGGCCACAATGGCAACACCACCGTCCTGTCGGTGCACAGCTCAGGGTCCAACTTCAGCGACAGCTTTGAGAACTTGAACATGTCGCTGCTGAACAGTCCACGGACGCCCAGCCGGGAGGCACGAGAAGGGCTGATCAGGCCCAACAACTACCGGGAGAAGGCTGCCATCAATGCTGGGTGAGTTTTGGCTCTTTGATATATCTGTGGTTGTTGTTTGTCTGTTGGTCAGTTCGTCTGGTTGGCATACCATGGAATGAGTCAACTTGTTGAACCATCTCCCAGCATGTGGACTACATGCATGCAGTACACATACCGGGGTACATGCAAGCTTTCCAACCAGGCTACATGTACATTGTATCTGCCGAACTCTGGAAAACCTTGATACTCTCTCATTCTTGACATTTGTAAGTTTGGAATAACAGATATCATTTTTATCCCTCACCCTCCAAGTTCTTTCAAATCCACCAGGAGGTATTCAGAGATTTGCAGAATTGCAGGAGTGGGTTTTAAAAGTAGAGCCTAACCACCTTACATACACTTGGTACACTGTACGTTTGAAAGTATGTGCAAGGGATGAGCACTGTGCACTTGTTTTCCTACACGGGTGAATAGTTCAGGGAAAAACCACACGAATTATCAGTCCGAATGCCTGTGGAGTTAGCGTTATCAAACTAGCAGAGAACCTTCAGTCCAGTTTTTAGGGAAGTCCCAAGATAGCGATTCACCCTCTGATCCAGCACCTTCCTAGGTGATGCAGACTCTCAATACGTTGGACCTGGATTGCGGGGTGCAAGTGTTTTTCTGCATGGTACTGACGTGCAATATTCAGGATAATGCCGCAGTAAACTGGAGAATCCCTTGTGTGTTTAATAGTACTGTTATTCTATCTTCGTGTAGGTGGCAGTATGGTTAGATAGAACGATGAGTGTACAGGTACCGCAGTTCTCTGAGGTACAGCTTTGTTTCAGCCAGCGTTCAGCCTCATATTTCTCACTCAAGCTCTTTCCAATGAGCCTCTTGCGAGTTAAGACCCAAATCTGGTACACTGAGTTATTTAAATTCACATGAACATAACAATTTGCATTCTCCATACTAAAACCACTGTTGCTATACCTTGTGATTCAGAGCAAGCTTGTGCTTAGTTACATAAGAGACGCCTTGCAACAGTACACTGTTTTTGATGGATAAGAAGCCTGAAGGGCACAAAGGAACCAGTCCATTCCAGAGATGGTGGTCGCTATGCAAAAGCTTGCCCTGAATCCCAAGGTATAGCAACTGTGTCTTAAGTCTGGGGAATTCAAATTGTTATGTTTATGTGCAATCAGATAACTCAGTGTACCAGATTTAATTCAATTTTAACTCGCAAATGGCTTATTCAGGCAGGTCTGATACTGGTAGTTGTGAAATTAATATCAACCACCAGATGTCCAGGATGCAGAGGATTGCCAAGTGCTCTGAAGCAGTGCTATCGATCCACTCCAGGCAACCATCCACTCAAAAAAGGGGTGACTGCTCCATGGGCCATTAATCCCCGGGAAGGAGGCGAGGGAGAAGCCTGCTAAATTGTGTTTGTGTTCAACGGTATCCTTCCCACAAACCAGTTGTGTCACGCTCGCATTGAAGGCCTGTCAATTCTGCAGCTGCGGTTGCTCGTGCATGTCACTTCCTACTGTGGGATAGTGGAATGTAGAAATGCTAAACCCTACTTGCTTGGTCTTTTTTTTTTCTAACAGCTTGACTGAGTCTGCAAAAGCACAAAATGTTGTGCTAACTGGTGATACGTGCTTTGAAACAGAGCTGGAATTTCAATCCCAATTTTAAATAATAATACAGTTCCGAGTCTGTCACGTCTGCAACTTGTCAATAGACCGAAGTGATGGTTTCTTTCTTCCTTTCTTTTTCTTCACTTTTTATAAACACACCAGTACTTGTACAAATCTGTGTACAAAATTAACAAGAACTCTGCTGTTCTTATTTGAAGCTGGGAATATCTTCCTGTTTTTGTGTTTTTGTTTCCATTTTCTGACAAGTCCCAATTGCATGCCTGTATAATGTGAGTGGACTGGGTGACCTGAAGTGCACGTCCTTGGGAACCTGAACTTGTACTTTCACTCTACATTTTGTCAGTGAACTACATGTGCACGCACTAGTACTTCTTAAACTATGGTTTCAGAATTTCACACCATACACCTTCAAAGTGAGACAGGTGTGTGTGTAACTAATCTATGAAAATTTTCAAACATAGCCTTCGGAGTTTTTAAATGAAGTATGAAATTTAATATGTAACATTAAGTCTGCTGCAAACCACTGTGTTTTTTATTTTGGTTAAGCAGTAAAAATGCACGCCCGTTGTCAGTCAGTTGTCTGACTTTTCAGTTTGCTCGTACTTCCTTTGGTGAGAGAACATGAAGCACCCATTGAAGTTAAATGCTTCAATCAATTGCTAATATGAAATCGCATGAAAAAAAAAGATCAGTGCAGAATCGAAGATAAAGTAATCAGAGCAAACTGTATTTTAACATCGATCCGCTTGACATTTTGTCCGCGTCTGCTCTAACCCTGTTTGTTCCTATTGCGGAGTGACAAGTGGTATTGGCTTTCACAGTTACCTGTTACTTAGACATGTCTGCGTTTCCTGTCTTTGATTTTTGTGCGAGTGTTCGATGGCCTGTGAAATGCCCAGAAAAAGCCTCTGAAATGTCAGTTACCTCACGAGTGCTTTCGGCTGCCACTTCCAGCTCAGCCATCAGCAAAACATAATAATTCCCCAAACCAGAGTAAATGGGATTGCATCTTGGCTAATCCTCTGTTTCCTAGCAACTGCACATCCAGGGAAATAAGCGGTTGGCCCCAGAGGGAATGAATTTCTCCAGAGAGTGTTGGTTTCATGGAGGGGCTGCTGTACTTATTTTCAAGACTAGAGGGCCCAAGCTTGAAGGAGGAACTCGTTTGTGGGAGGAAAGAGAGTGAAGGTCTGGCTGGCAGCAGGACGTTGTAAAATCTGATCTTGCTGGAGGTTTTTATCGTGGCGATAAACAGGAAAAGAGAGGCAGGAAATGAAAACTACTGTCTTAAATCAGTGACCAGTGAACAACCACAACTAATGTTCATTTACCTGTCAGGTTTTGGAGGTTGGTCGAACACAAAACACAATATTGGTAGCACAGAGCTGAAAAGTCAGTCGAACAGAAGTGATATTACCGACCATAACTACACGTGTGTACCAAGATGCTGAGCTAACATTTACTCATACATACATGCACATGTGCCCTCATAAATCAATAGTCCATTTAAAAGGTTATCAAGTTCAACACAATTTAATTTCTTGGCTTTGTCCAAAACTTCTCATGTGAAACCATCTTAACCATCACACCAGTCTTGACATTATCATGTTCATCAGTGGGCACTTTCCTAATTCTCCTGCTTCGTTCCATGTGGCTTGTGTGATCATCAGATGAGATAGGGGCAGATGTTAAGAAACAATTGCATTTATCTTGAAACAAACAATACTTGTAATTAAAACAGTTGAATTTCAAAGCAAAAGTTTTTTCAACATGATGTTCTTTATTTCTGTCAATATTTTGTTTTAATCAAGATTCTTTGAAAGGGGATAGTGAAGAACTCCAGGACATGTTCATAAATCATTCATTAATCATATTTAGCATGTTTAATTTAGATTATGAAAGCTTACTGTGCATTCATAAGGTTGGAACCTACCGGTATTCAGCCAAACATTGTCAAAACTTGCTATAATGTGCAAGGACTGCATTTTCTGCAGTGCCCTTTAACAGTAGATCATGTCTTCTCTGCTTCAGCAGCTGAGCTAGCATCACATCAAAAGCTTTGAAGTTTGAACCCAGCAGTTTGGAAAGGTCGGCAATTATTGGCAAATTGAGTTAGGCAAAGCCTCCTAGGATCCATTCCAACACATTTGATCTTTTCAATTCTTTGAGTCCTCGTCAATGTGCCTGTTGCTCTTCTGTGACACATTCACATAATTTACCATTGCAGTATAAATGCACACCCTGAGACTTTCAAAACACAAAAAAACCCTTAAGTGCGATTGAATGTCATCTGCTATCTTTTAGAAGGGCATATTAAACAAGCTGTTACGATATGAGTTACAGGTATGTTTAAAAAAAATGTACCGTACTTGGGCCTGACCTGTGGAATTTTTTTTAGTTTGTTAAACCCTCTAGGAATTGAAAACAAGGCTAGATCACATCTGGTGAATTTCTTTCAAAAAGTATAATGTTGACATTGATTGAAGCCAAACATGTATATTTGTACATGTGTACCGGCGCAGCTGTACAATGTAGATAGTGGTACATGCATGCTAAAATTTCCTAATCAAAAAAGTAATGAGGAAATTCCTGAAGGAGTGGCTTACTGAATTCTTTTGTTAGGTGTCATTGCTTGACTGTTAGTGTTATGGGCTGGTATGGTCTTGCAAAATATATGTAGGAGGGATTGCTTCTGGATGAGCCATCCATTAAGCAGCACCTGCCTTGTGAAGCTACACCACGAGGGCAAATTCTTGCAACTGAACTGGCGTTTATATGTACTTCTGCTTTAAATAGCATCCCGTTGAATCATAGGCCTCGGCCAGACTTGGTGTTATTCTACAGCACCGCACTGGTCTTTGTTATCATCAGGCCTTTCTTTGCCCATGGGCTGTACTCTGCGCTAGTTGGATGGCGTTCCAAGTTCGTGCATTGCAAAAGAAATTTTGTCCCCTGCCCAAGGGCTACGGAGTCGAATATTGTGGAATAACACCAGATACACCTGGGTGCTCTCAGGCTGTTTTGGTTACACTTGTTGCAATCTACTAAATGATTTGCCCCACGAGAAAAGTGGGACTGTGTGTTTATTGGCCTGGGCAAAGGAAGCCAGCGTCAAGTCCTAGGTAAAGACACACTGGGACTGAAGGCATACCGGTAGTAGCCACCAAGTACAGCAAACCACTTGCCAGCAAATCTCTAAAAATCACCTGATTGTCTTGAAAAATATCATCGTCTTGAACGGAACCCCTTTATAAAAATTTGCCAAATTTCTCCTACAACTGGCATTAGCAGTGATTTGCATTAGGAAGCTACATTTCAGCACTGAGTTTCTCAAACAGTTAAAAAATGTCAGCAGTTATTTGTTCAACTTCGCCCTGCATTTGCTGGTGTAGG